ATAGCACAGGCTGCGCCATCTGCAGCAGAGATTGTAGCGTTATTTTCAGCATATGTCTCCATATCCGAAATGTAACCTTCCACTGTAGTTTTGGCTTCTCCTGGGCGTGGAGTTTAATTGTCAATTCTCGCTCTTTCGGTTGAATTACTGTCATAATTGTCACCGATGGACGGGCTGGCACATACTGTTCGGTGCGCGTCGAGTTATGAATCACATGCAATTACATGACGATTGCTCTTATGTCCTATCAGCCAATCCAAATATATTTAAATTTAAGACTTACTTTATTACTGATATGTCGTTCACTATTTTATACAAAATAATCTCCTATTTACAGTGAGAATTTCTCCCGACTACGTACTTTTATCTATTTTTCCACTCCCCAGCTTCTACCAGCGAATGTTTAAATGCACATCACGGCTCCTTTATTTTTCACGAAACAAACAGAAAATTTCTTGCACGCTTCACAGCTTTTGTATTACCGCAATATCCGCAATTTTAAAAGCAAACCGAAATTACACGCGACATGCTGTTAATACAGCATTGCAAACGCCACTCGTGCACACAGATCAGGTCGACCGCTCTGCTAACCCAGGGGCAAGACCACTGCGCCACACGGTTTTCCGGGAAATCGCACATCGCAAATGCGAATGAAAACGCGAAAGCACGGCAGCGCAGCAGCGGCGACACCCAAAAAATCTCTCACCGCGACACTAGCGCCAAACACATTTATTCCTCTGTTTGTCGCCTTTAAAAAAAAGAAGTTCGCGCAGCGTACGACGATGTGATTAAAATCTACCTAGTCCGATTCTGGTGCGTTTCTTTTTTTTTTCATTTCACTCAGTTTTCGGCGAACAGATCACGAACGTTTTATTGCAAATTAATTGCTGCGGAGCGCGATAAAGCGGTAAACCCCACCGTGACCCGACCGCGAACAGGGAAAGATAGGCGTATTTACATGTGCACCGGGGATCGCGCGGTGCTTTGGGGCGACGCCGCTCGTGGCTTTGGCGAGCAACGAGACGCGAGCGCGTTTTTCGGCTCTAATCCGCGAATCCACGAATCCGCGGCGATTGAATGCGGTTTTTCCAACCGCGCGGGCGAAGCTGCCTGGCCCCGGCGCCTGGCGATGGGGCGTCATCGCCGTTTGCGGCGAAGCCGATGGATGCGCGTTTTAAATGCTTCGTTTTGTTTTGGTGTTTGAACAATGATTGGGATAATGGATATGAAAACCAGTTTTATTCCACGTTTGCGAATTCTTGTCACGTTCATTACGGGAATAGAGTGACATTTATCTGGTATTCATCGAAACCAATTCCGACGACATTCATTCTATTGGGTGGTGTCGTAGTAGTCTTTATTATTAGTTGCTGCATAAAATTTGGAGTATATATTTTATTTGCACATCGCATGGATGGTGTACTAAATGGTATATTTTATTTTTGTGTTAGCTATGTTTGCCTTAGCGATTTAGAGTGAACGTGGATATTGGTCTTTGTGAATATATAATTTGATATTTTTGTTTGAACCACAGTGATGATCGCCCGGACGAAAATAGTACTCGTGGATAATTGATGAAACAATTCTAAGAATGTTTCATAGCTTGTCGATGATCAATATGACATTTTAAAAAAAATCAGTTTGTGGTAATTTTGTAACATGTATTTCATCATTTTGTTTGAATATGTGTTATAAAGAGAGCTTGTGAACAAATTGTTTGGACACGGCGGCATTCTAACGTTCTGTGATTAAGATGGTTTGCTGACTCATTTAAGTATATTTCTAATTCATGTGCCCAGCGGGGCTTATAATATACTGAGACTTGCATTTGAGAGATCATATAATCATAGATTAATATTAATTTGGCATGCGAGATATTGATGACAGCACATTGGCTTTCTAGGAGGAATTTTTATTCAAAAAGAGGAACATCCTATGTCGTGTCACGCAGTCTGACTAAAGGTCAGTAAAATTAAGTCCTGGAACAATTTCCTTTCTAAGCAAACTACTTCTCATATTCGTGTTGCGAAACAATTACCGGAGAAATACCCATGACAGACCGTTCTTCAGTCAAACTTTTGGCGGAGAATACTGAAATAAAAAACAGGCGGTTACGTTTGTACCCATGTGGTTGAAAAATTGAAAATGAATCACAGCGCAGCCCATGTACAAGGTGGGTAATGAACTAGTGTCCAAAATATGGATGTTGCACAAGAACAACAAAACTGAACAAGAATATTTACTAAATTCTGTTGATGGAAAGTTTAAAGGAGATATTCCTATTTGGTTTGGGTTTAGGTGTATGCTGTTAACATCATTTTATATTTTTGACTTCACCCTGTAATTTAAGAAAATATATCAATCATGTGCCTACAAATATCTACGTAGAGTGAATTAATGACTGAAAACTGCCCCTGAACCGAATGTACGAATCCTGCAGTTTTTGATGGCATTGCGTCAATGTTTTCACAGAATTCTGTCTATTTTAATTTCCAGTTACTGCAACAATTACGACAAACATCACACGGAATAAAAGCATGTAGTGGCAAATTGTTTTCTAGAACATCTAGCAATGTATTTGCTGTGGTATGACTGCATATCATCGCAGAACAAGAAAATTTCTCACCTATTAGTAGTTCACCCTACAAATGTAAACAAACGGAAGAAATGTTTGCGCCGCACTACGCGTCTGATTGGACATCTCCTAGCGCACTACTTCGTGTGACGCGAGTAGCGTATCCCGCCAATTCAAATGGAATAAGAGCTGTCATGCAAGTGTCCTGTTCATGAACTACTTACGATCAGTCTGTTTCAAGAAGTGGTTATCGACAACCGGATGTCAATTATTTGCATAAATTGGTTGACCTAAAATTTGAAAGTTCTAGATTACAATTCAAAAGCTGCAACGATTTCACAAGCGTTGGTGTTCTATTTCTGCACATTTGCCCTTTTGATGTAAGGGATGTACTTTCGATCGAACAACACTGACTACGAAGTTATCGCATGCTCCATTTACAGATTTCTTCCCCTTCTGTTTTCTCTGGCGTTTGTAGTTGTTCCCTTTCAGTGATCTCTTTCCGAATTTAATATGCTCTGAATACGGATATTCCTGTGAACAGTGAGATTTGCTTTGACGACGGATTTATATTCTATAACGAATTGAAAACGTTAAGAACGATGTGCTTTTCGCTACTCCGTAGAAATTTTCTTCACTTCTGTTTAATTATTAACGGGCCAGCCACACTCTGAGACATTCTAAAACGAATTGAATAGTAGAGCATCGTAGTACGGTCGGTAGTGCGGCGCCGCGGTCCCACGAGCAGCGTCCCACGCGCCTGATCACGTTGATCAGCACGTTTACGGGCTGAACTGTCAGTTCGTAATCTTACCGCAAAGCAACACAGTCAATTCACAATTGCCTCCTTTCTCGAAACCGTTGCAATAGTTTCGACGCAAGGTTAATATAACGAACAATGGAAGATAAATTAGCTCTTATACAGAGAACCTTTTACTTTAGCGTTAGGATCCCTACAACAGCAGAGCTCACACTGCAGATAAACGAGATTTATACTAACACACGTGCATTTATTTACATCAGGATTTTTCTTAGGTTGAACGGATAATAATGAGCACTTCTAAATGAGATACGGTTTTACAATTCATTCCGATAGTTGTTCTTTAATAATATTTATTAATATTTTTTAGAATATGTTTCCGTTTGTTAATATGGGCTATGTACTCGAGGCAATTATCGGAGATGATATCATGTTCCAATAATCTGAATATCGGTGAAATCTCTAGCTATCTTACTTTGTGACACATCTTTATTGGTAAATAATCAGACTCGTAGACGAATAGATTCGTAGTTAATATGATAAAACAAAAACAAAAAATAAAAACATTTTTTCGCCCTGGGGCTCTTTCCAGCTTCAGAGCATGTCAGTTTCGAATATCCGTGCGGGGTCCCACTGTTTTTTCATGGGAACACATATTAACACACTTTACACTAGACACATTTGCAGGTACCTCGAACTGTGGTCAGCAGACTCGACCTTCCGCGACAACAAACATGCATGAAATACAAGTGACAAATATATGAAATACAAAGTATGCCATAGGCAGGACTCGAACTCGTTACCCTGCCGACCGAGGCGCTGAGTCGACAAACGCTCTAGCCACCTCGGTCTGGCCAAGTCGGCATAAATTAATAAATATTGAAACATATAAAAGTGATAAAATAATGAAATCAAACAACGAATAAATATATAAACGAGGAATCTGATAAACGAAAAAATAAATTAATAAATGCAAACATGAATTGTACTGGGGTAAATGAGTAAATGCATAAATGAATAATCGGACAAATTTATATATGCAAACATTAATAATAGGGTAAATTCACACACGAATAATTGCATAAACTGATAAATGCATACATGAATAATAAGTTAAATGGATAAATGTGTAAATAAATAGTAGTATAATTTGATAAATGCTTACATGAAATGCATGCATGAACATTACGATAAATTTGTAAATGCATATATGAATAATAGGATAAATGCTTACATGAATAATTGGATAAATGGATAAAAGCACCCATGAATAATTGCCTAAACTTATAAATGCTTACATGAATAATAGGGTAAATGGGTAAATGTGTACAAAATAGTAGTATAAATCGATAAATGCTTACGTTAAATGTAGGGTAAATAGGTAAATGAATACATGAATAATAATATTAAATTTATAAATGCATATATGAATAATAGTGTAAATGCATACATGAATAATAGGGTAAATGCATACATGAATAATAGGGTAAATGCTTAAATGATTAAGAGTGTAAATGCATACAAGAATAATAGGGTAATTGCATACATGAATAATAGGGTAAATGCATACATAAATAATTGCATAAAAGGATAAATTCAATGTTGAATAATTGAATAAAAGAGTCAAGGGGATAGCATTTTTCCTACTTGGCAGGCGGGCGCACGGCGAGCGCCAGCAGCAGCGCCGCGACGACTGGGGCAGCGACGAGCGGCGGCCACACCACGTGCAGCTCCCGCAGCAGGTCGGCGGCGTCGGCGGGGGCGGCGGGCGGGCACGCGTTCCCTGCCCTGCACGCGGTCTCCACGCCCTCGCCGGCCTCCACGGCCTCCGGCAGCCAGCTCTCGCCTCGCACCAGCACTGCGCACGCGCCGGCATTACACTTACGGGACGCGACACACAGCTGAAGCATATTTAGATTTCGTCCAATGATAAATCCTTTTATAAGATGTTTATCCCACTTAAGATCTGATTCAAATATATTGTTATCCCAATTCAGATTATCCCGCATCCCACTTCAAATCTGATTCCCACATCCGTATCCTACGTATCCTACGTTTTGTGTTATTCCGGTATACCATACGTAAATATTGTAGTTATTCATGTCTCGGAATATTCAATAATCATGAATGGGATGATGCCTGAAACCCTGGAGATCTCAAGCAGTATTAAACAACGTTGTTTTACCACTCTTAGATCTTATCAGATCGAAGATGGCATCGAAGACGCCGCACGCAACAAGTCATATTGGTGAGGGAGCTGTTGGTATGTGGTTGATAAGATAAGGATGTAGGAATCGGATCTAAAGTGAGATGTGGGATAATCTGAAGTGGAATAATAATTTCTTATATTTGAATGAGATCTGAAGTGATATTTACTACCTTATAAAAGGATTTATTATTGGATGAAATCAAAATATGCTTTAGATGATTTTTCTTTTATGTTGGATCACAACATCTAAGAGGTGGCACATGAGTATTTCTCAAACACAACGGCAATTTATTGTAATATATTAAAAATTGTAAATAAGTATCACAATCTGTAAAGAATTTCAGTGCTGACCATGCAATAAATAATGTATACACTATTAAAATCTCAGTCGTTTAGGGATATATTTTAGAACAAACTGATCTTTGGTGCCTGCATTCAATTGAAGGACTCAGCGCAGTAGTGGTTAAACCCCCTAAAAATAAAAATGTGTTAACTTTGTTACCTGAGAAGGCAAACTATGACATTACATTGTAGGTTTGACCAGCTTTCTTCTATACAGTTAAAAATGAAGCCATATTTTTTGTCTTCACAACTCTTTCCTACCACAGTACACAAATCTAGCTTTATTTTACTGTTTGCTGAAAATGCAGATTAAATTACTATTGTGTTGACCCCTTCGATTTGCATATTGTTTTAATTTCTAGGATAGGGGTCTCCAAGCTTCAGCCCGCGGGCCACATCCGACTGTTGGCAGTATTCTGCGTGGCCCACCAACTCAAAGTATACTCTAATTAAATTATTCGTAACACATGCTAATATTTTATTATAAGATATAATAATTTGATTTCATGTTGTTACACATTCTTTGGTTCACATACCAGCCATGTTGCGAGTATCGTATCATTGTAAATTCCACATCCATAGTGTTCAAATGCTCTCGAATTTTTACTGTTGGTAGAATAGTTTTTGTTCTTCTAACTGATTTTGACTTCAATTTGTTTATGTTGGCAAAAATAGCAAGTTGCAGTGAGCACGTTGCAAATACAATTAATAAAACATTCAAGGATAAAATAGCTTGTACACTCATATTAAGGTATTTACTCAGAAATTATTATCTCCAGAAAAAGATTTTAGAATGTGCTTTGTTCACTATTCTACCTGTATGTTAGGAAGTACTGAAAATGGATTTAGTTTCCACTTATCATGTGTAGCCAAATGCCCAATATGCATTTCAAGAGTTAATTTTAGAATTGTTATTTTTGTATTAAATTTCCAATCAAAATTTAATTTGACACATAGACGATAAATTCCATCGTATCACAAAATTTCATTTTTGCCTCTCGAGTCTCTTAAAAACTTTCTATTCGGCCTCCAGTAGAAGAAGGTTTGGAAATCCCCTAATTTAGGGTACGGCGTGACTTCTTGGCTGTCCGGATGACGCCGCGTCGTTTGCTGAGAGGCCGACATTTTGCCTGGCATGTCACAGTCTTCTTAAGTGACGTCGGCCTCTCAGACAACGTCACAGCGTCATCCGGACACTAAGCCATGACCCCGAGACGCTCAAGCTTACGTGTACACAGGGCACAGCGCGCCGTCGCCGACGAGCCTCACCCGCGGTGTTGAGCACGCCGGCGGCCGTCTGGCCGAGCTGCCACACGGCGAGCAGCGCGCCCAGGGCGAAGGTGACGGCGGCGTCGCCGCGCGCCTCGGTCATCTCCGCGGCCAGCGGCAGCGCCGCCCCCCACAGCAGCGCCCGGCGCCCGACCCTTTGCACCGCGCGACGCCCACCGCGGCCCTCCGCCGCGCCCAGTCCACCCGCCCCTCGGGAGCAGCAGCTGCGCGCGGCCACGCGCAGCACAGCAGCCGCGCCCAGCGCCGCGCCCCAGCGCGCCCCGCCCCTGCGCCGCGCGCGCCGCGCCGTCACCGCTCGCTCAGCGCATACCGACCCATCACGACGTGTATTGAACAGGGCCGCATACGACCAGGCAAAGAGCAATTGAACTTCATCCAATACGCTCAGTCCACCGAGGATATCCGACGGCATAGGATGAGGCAATGGGATACATTAAATACGCTCAACCAACCCATCACCACCGACGACATGCGTCGAAATGCGACGACGTGTATTGAACAGGGCCGCATACGACCAGGCAAAGAGCAATTGAACTTCATCCAAAACGTTCAGTCCACCGAGGACATCCGACGGCAGAGGATGAGGCAATGGGGTACATGAAATGCGCTCAACCAACAAATCACCACCGACGACATGCGTCGACATCCGACCACATGTATTGAACAGGGTCGCATACGACGAGGGAAAGAGCAATTGAACTTCATCCAAAACGCTCAGTCTACCGACGACATCCGACGAATAGGATGAGGCAATGGTCTATGACACTACATTAAATACGCTCAGTCAACTCAGGATCACCAACGACATCCGACGACATGCGTTGAGGCAATGATCAATTCGAGTACATTATATAAGCTCATTCAATCGATGATCAACAAAGACATCACACGACTTGGGATGAGGCAATAGTCAATTGGCATACATTAAACACGCTCTATCAACCCACAATTATTGACGACATGCGATGAGGCAATGGTTAATTAGGCTGATTACGCAGGTCAATATATTAGACTACATGAAATACGCTCAATCAACCCCGTGATCCCCAACGACATCCAACGACATGCGATGAGTCTATGGTCAACTGATAACAAACCGTGGGTGAATTGGACTACATGAAATAACCTCAATCAATCCATTATCACCGATAACATGAGATGAGGATATGGTTAATTAATTGGTCAGACTACGCAGGTCAATTAGACTGCATGTAATACGGTCAACCAACCCACAATCATCAATGACATCCGTCGAGACACGATGATGCAATGGACTATTGTTCTGACTATGCAGGGCAATTGGACTACAATAAATTCTGTAACTTAACCCAATGAATAGGACTAGGTGCGTCAAATTCCTTCGATCAATCCACGATCACCAACGACATCCCACGACATATGAGGAGACTGTATAGCAAATAAAAATTAACTGAAACCCATTGATCTAAATCGACCAATCAACATCCGAACATATCAGAATCTGCATTATACGATACGATTGCGATAAAAAAAAGCTTCATGGTTCAAACATTCAGGTTATAGTAAACATATTCATTCTAGTCGCAGATGTATATAGAATTTGTCTGATGCAAAAAAGGAGAGAAATTAGGCAAATTGAAGCTGTTCAGCACAACAAACTAGTCAGAATAGAGAAGTATGTGGTCCGTCATCAAAAGATTTTTCAGAATGATAAATTACGGATTTGTAAGTAACAATGAGATACAAAATATTATATTGCATCTTGTTTAATTCTAGCAAATTCCGAATACAAGAAAATGCTCGATGTAGCACAAACGCTCCACACAACCTATGATAGCTGTTGGACTGTGTACAATTCAAATCGATCAACAAACGATACGCTAGCGCCAAACTAACTAGATAATGTTATTCTGTATTTGGAGACGAAGATGTATCTTCTTGCAGACATGATTAGACCCTGCAGCTAGAACGTCGAGACAAATGAGGCAGAGAAACGTAGAAAATACACGTTTGTATCACGTAAATCACGGATCGTAGATTCTTGATATACGGAAGTAATCATGATGACCCACAGGTTAGAACGACTCATCACTACTCAAAAAGAACCATAACCGTTTTCATAAGCATTGGACTGTTATATTATATTCACCAAGATAATAATTTTCCAGTAATTGCAAAGTTATTGTAGTTTCAAAGAATTGTCACAGCATATATGAAAATTGAATAATTGGATTTCAATTAATCAATTCCACTCTAATTCACAAATGTAACCACAAGTATTTAGCAAGACAGTTAACATTGTTAACATTGAAATTAAAACAGTTTTAATAAGTTTGGAGAAAAGCCTTATAGGTGTAGTAAACATTTGGAATAAAATTTTATATCGCTTCTGTGTCTGAAAATAAATTAGTTGGCTGAACATTAATATAATGAACCGAAATAAATTTATATTATTAAATCAAATAGAAAGTCAAACGTTAAACAATTATTGATAATAAATATTTCAATTTACACTCTCCTTTATTATCGTAAAACCAGTGTCAGTACTCAATACAGGTGAAAAAACATGCATTGTTTTTCGCATTAATATGATGCTTTTTGTTCTGTTGTGTACTTTTGACAAGCAATACAATACAAAGCTGTGTATGAATGTAACACCAATAGTACGCGGTCCTAAATTTAATAGTCAATATTTTCCTAAGCAAATTTGATATAATTACATTCGATAAATTAAAGATGTTGTCTGCTATCAGATCAGGTATCTGATACCACACACCTTAGTTTACCGTGTTTAATTATTAGAAAGTATCTACCTCATCAGTAGTCTAATTAATTCTTAGATATACTTTCATTCAACTTATAAAATTTCCACATCATCAATTTTTTACTAAATAAAATGTCAAGTTATACTTTCAGCCAAAGAAAAATACTGACTGGGATGTTGCAAATTGAAATAATGGAGAATATAATTGGATAGAATTAATTTAAAACTAGCCATTCGGTGAACTCAAGATATATTACTCTCTTTATTAAAAGAA